ATTAGAGTAGATTGTAAATAAAGTTATTAAGCTTATAGTCATTCCAAACTGAGTCATAATTTAAAGCTTAAACATACTAGAGTATTTCAAAATAATAAGGACAACTGAGAGTTCTAACTAACTAAGCAATATCGTTAACTTCCTCCAAAGCCTGTTCTAAAGGCACCTCATTCATCTCTACTCAAATCCAAGTGGATGATCATTGCAAAAGAGAAGCATACCAAGCAAAACACAAACATAGAAGCAAGGGTGAGCTAGATATACAAAAATCATGTTATAATAGTCACAGGAAACATGCAAGTAAAGATAGATACACTACACAAACATGACTTGTTGCACTTAAACTTGACTCGTCCGGACTTAGAATGATTGTCGAGCTATGGCAGATCATGCAATCGTGGTGGTCTCTATTGCTTTGCAAAGTCATTGCCAATGGGTTTCAACCTACCACACTCACGAGGTTAATCCATTATCACTCACCTTGGACCATACTGGAAGCACCCAAGACTATAACCTCCTACTACTACTCACGACATGGTTCAATCATCTTTACTTGAGAATGATTGACCATTGTAGTTTCAGGATAACCCCCAAGAGTGAGCTTCCATGCAAATCATTCTAAACATACTAAAAGGGCACCACCGTGTATCCCTCCCTTGAGGATCATGGAATTACGTCCAATACTGATACTTTTCACTTTCAACACAACAATACATCATACCTTCCCATACTTTCAATTTAACCACATTACAACAATCATACTTTACACGAAAATCATCACACACACATAATTTACCCAAAACAATAGCTAAAGAACTTGAACCGAACGCTAGGAGCTTTGGCCGAACACTTAGAGCTTTGGTCGAATGCTATGAGCTTTGGTCTAGCACTTAGAGCTTTGGCTGAACTCTATGAGCTTTGGCCAAGCACTTAGAGCTTTGGCTGAACGCTATGAGCTTTGGCCGAGCACTTAGAGCTTTGGCCGAACACTTAGAGTTTTGGCCGAACACTTGTTGCTTTGAGACCGAGTGCCAATACAAGACCGAACACTCATTAAGAGACCGAGTGCCAGTACAAGACCGAACACTCTTTAAGAAACCGAGTGCGAGTACAAGACTGAACACTCTTTAAGAGACCGAATGCCAGTACAAGACCGAACACTCTTTAAGAAACCGAGTGTCAGTACAAGACCGAACACTCTTTAAGAGACCGAGTGTCAGTACAAGATCGAACACTCTTTAAGAGACCGAGTGTCAGTACAAGACCGAACACTCTTTAAGAGACCGAGTGTCAATATAAGACTGGACACTCTTTAAGAGACTGAGTGCCAGGACAAGACCAAACACTCTTTAGGAGACCGAACGGTCATGAACTAGTAAGACTCAAAAGAGACCAACCCAGTTATGATCGAGAGCAGCACAAGACCGAACGGTCAACTGCAGCGTTCTGCATAATTCTGCAGAATGTTGCATAATTGCGAACATAACCCAACATGACCATTTCTAACCATTTTTACTAACTTCTAACACCCTTAATTATTGTTTTATACTTAATTAAACTTATCTAAATGATTCTAAACATTCCTACTACCATTCTAAAGTGATTAAGACTCAATTTCAACTCTAAAACACCAATTTTCCCAACTTAGGGATCCAAAACCCAATCCTACTGCTTTGCACCTATTTTGATCAATTTAGTGACTGAAATAAGTCACAATACACTAGCTAAGATTGCCCTAACACCCCAATTGCGCTTTAGGCCTCAAATGCCCAAAATCACTACCTCACTTCCCCCAATTTGCCCTAAAACACTAAAATTTCACCTAACTTTCCATTTCATTCAGGCTATAACAGATTTATCACTCCAAGCACTTCCAACACGCCCAATTACAGCAGCTAGATTCAACCAATGCAGTTTACAGACCTCACGTTACAATTTCATACATCACACGCATCAACATGTATGACCAACTTAAATTAGAGCTTAAACAAACAAACCAAACAGCACACCCATTAAGGAATATAACATACATACAAATACTGCAAGTAAATTGAAAATAATATCTAGCTCCCCTTACCTTAGGGTTTCACAGCTAAGCTCACAACTTGATTCAATAGTGCTTGACTCCGCAAGAACTCAACCAAACCCTACAAACTACCCAATGGGTGATAGAACAACTCTTTAGAGCTAATTTTTGACAAGAAATTGAAGGAGAAAGTTTCTATTACATGCCATAGGTTCCCAAAAGAGGAGGAAAAAGGGGAAACAACTTACTCGCTGAAGAACGAGAATATAATCGAATGGTTGCGAAGCTCTCTAAGCCGCGATCACTTGAGCACCACCTAATCAAACATGTAATGACTGAATGTGAAGGAATGGTAGAGAGAAGGCAGAGAGAATAGGAAGCAACTTTTTAGGGAGAGAGAGTGTGGTTTTAGAAGAAGTGAGCAGAATTTAGTAAAGTTGCTAAGTTGTACGCTTTTCAGAATAAAAGAAAAAGCTCTTCTCTTGATTTTAATCCTTTTTTTTTTTATTTAATATATATATATATATATATATATATATATATGTGTGTGTGTGTGTGTGTGTGTTTGAGGATCCTTACAAATAAATTAAAAGGGTAGTAATAATTTTTCAACTTTGAGGATCCATATATTATATGTAGTTTCTATGTTTTTGGATTTTTTACAAATTAGTTCAATTTGGTCCACACATGATATCTAGGTCTAATTGAGTCTAATTAAGTTTATTAAAGGCAAGTTGGACTAATGTCATGTCCAATTGAATTGGGCTCACATTAAGTCAAGTAAAGTTAAATTCACGTTGGTTTAAGTTAAGTTAATATTAAGCTCACATTAAGTTGAGTCAAGTGAAACTCATCTCATATTGGCTTAGCTTGGTTCGATTCATTTCGGCTTGTCTCAGTTCGCTTTTGTTCGGTTCGACTGGGTGTGATTTGGTTTGGTTTGGTTCGGTTCAGTTTGGTTCGGCTTAGCTCGGCTCGATTGTGTTATGCTTGGTGCAGTTCAGTTTTGTTCGGTTCGGCTCGATTAGGTTCAGCTCGACTAGGCTTAATTCAATTCGCTTCAGTTCGATTTCGCTCGACTTGATTCGGTTCGATTTGGTTTGGCTCGACTATGTTTTGTTTGTTTCGGTTCAACTCTTTTCAATGTATTTCGATTTTGTTTGGATTAGTTTGGCTGGACTCAACTCGTTTTGATTTGGTTTAATTTTTCTCGACTCAATTCGGTTTGATTTAATTCAATTTTACATAAAATTATTCACTGTTTGTTTCTCTGCGTGAAAAATAAGCCAAAAGAAAGAAATGTAAAATGTGGTATGAGAAACCAATAACTAAAATGGTTCCAAATGCAATATCAGCAGGTTAGTTAGTTGAGATCTGCATGCACAATTAACACTTGGTTTATCCAATTTAAGCATTTTGAGTTTGATTAAACTGAAGTTTTTGTAAGGGGCACTTGGATTATCTTTATAGGTTGAATTTCAAAAATGTATGTTCTTTTCTAGGATACTTGAACTGCGTAACATAAACTTTGGGCGTAGAGTTGAAGCACATGTCTAACAAAATTTTAATTAAGATTTTAATTACATAATAATATGAACATTTTGCTTTATTATCATAAAATATTAACTCACTATATGAGAGGAGCTTAATGTAAGAATATACACTTAACTAAAAACAACTTAATTGAATTCTCCATATATATATATATATATATATATATATATATAAAGGTTTTTACCTTATTTTTATATAGTACAATAAATACTAAAAAAAGGAAAAGGAATAAATTTGTTTAAATGAAATGAAAGAATAGATAAATAAATAAAAAATTTGATATTTTATTTGTTATAGAAAAATTATTTAACATTATTACAATAAAAAACAAAAAAGTGTCCATAATTTATTATGGAAAAAATACATGCAATTACCCACTTTTTTTTTAAAAAAAAAAATGCAAAGGTGGTTGAAGAAATTAAGAAATTAAACTAGTTTAAAAACTAACTTCAAATAGAATATTTGCAAGTTAGTTAGTTGAGATTTTTAGAGCACAATTAACACCTGATTTATCCAATTTAAACATTTTTAGCTTGATTAAACTGAATTTGTGCGATAAACTTCTTTTGAGGAGCAAGTTGTATTCGAAAAATATGAACTTGATACCTACATTATTAACTCGAAATATGACTAATAAAATAAATTTTATTACTCATTTCAATTTGATTTAATTATATATGGTGGGAAACTATGAAAAAGGTTGATTCCTCGACTGTTTCTTTGATCATACGTAACATCGAAGTTTCTTACCACTAAATTTGCCGTCTTCTCCACCATATAAGTTAATGGTAACCACTCAAATTTATCTTTGAAATCAACTAACAAGAAAATATGACGTAGCTGGGTTTTAAACAATGATCTTTTCAAAGCTTAAAAATAAGAGTTTCATACAACAGATAATATATTAAAAAAATTACAACTAATTCGTTCATTAATCCTCGTAATTTTTACATAATATACATTAATTAAAATAACCATTTTAGGTCAAACCGAGCTGAATCCAATGTGGAAAAGGTCCAAATTACATCTCTGAATTGTAAAAGACATCATATAGTTGGTTGAGTCCCAAAATAGTTGACTATAAACAGAACAAGTTGAAAAAAAAATATGTATGTATTTTAATTAAGATATAAAATTTGATTTTTAAACAAACTTAACTTTTTCTTTTAGTATTAACAAACTTTTCTTCTCTTATATAAGTCTTGACGATGGAAACTTACAATTAAAAAAGATAATAAAAACTAAAGTTTTGAAGCATAATATATTGCAAAAACCTCTGACATAAACATCTTGCTCTCGAATATTTGGAGTCATAAAACGTTAGGCACCGACAAAAAATGGGTGGCAAAGGTGTTGTTGGTCATTTCATTTAAATAAGGAAACGATTATTCAAAGTCAAAGTCTTATGAAAGTGCAAACTGTGTATTTCCACGAAAGTAGAATGAAGAGGAAATATCTGTTTATAATGAGAATACGATAATATGCAATCAGAATTGAAGTGAGTGTTGAACATGGAGAGTGAGAGAGAACAAGTTAAGCAGAATCTGGGAGTCTTTGATATCCTCAATGAAGCTGTAACATTCTATGTCAAAAACATCAACTTTATCATCTTCACCTGTCTAACTTCCCTTCCTTTCTTTCTTCTTATGGTTTACTTTGAAACCTTGTTCCAGAAAATCATAGTTGAGAACCCACAAATTATATCACTCCTACCCTTTTTCGAACCAAGATATGCATATGTCTACTATATATCTGAAAATGGTGGCTTCGCCCGCGTAGACACACCTCATAAAAGTTTTAGTAATGATTATTTGCCTGTTTTGATTCAACTTGGAATGATTTACTTGGTGCCTCTTCACGTTCTAGATATCTGCTCTGCGGTTATAACTATGGATTCGGCTTCAAAGCTAAAGTCAGAAGGGAATTACATGAGTCTGAAGGATATGTTTAAAAGTTCCATTGACATGTCAATAATGAAAGGCACATTTATCACTTCTTTGTACGTAATGTTTTGGTCAACCTGTTTCTTGATTGCATTCCCATGGATACTGAATAACTGTTATATGCTCTTCAGGGATTTTGGGTATTACATATTTTTTACAGTAATCTGCTTTGTAGCATTTACAAAGCTGTTGATGGTGTATTTGGAATGGAGTGCTATTTGGAATATGAGTTTTGTGATATCGGTTGTGGAGGGTATATATGGTATTGGGGCTATACGAGTTTCATATTTCTTCAGCAGAGGAAATCAGCAGAGAGGATTACTTTTGATGTTTGTTTTCTTTGCCTTGGGGCTTTGTTTAAGGTTGTCATGTGTCTCCCTTCAATGCTATAAAAGAGGGTATGGGATATTTATGCAAATTGGGCTATTCACTGTGGTGAATACGCTCAAATGGGTGTCGTTTATGATTTACTTCCATGATTGCAAGGAGAGAAAAATGGAGAAGAAAATAGATGAGGAATCGGGTAAAGATCTTGAAAAATGATTCATGAAATAGTGAAACTTGGAGAATGGAGATAACTTGTTGCTGCTTCTATTTTGGGTCCGAAATATGTAGCACTATTATTATCTCAACTTTTTATCAGAAATAAATTGTGAATAAGGATTTTCCTCAATAAATCTATTTTATTCTTCGGTGTACTTTCTATTTACTTTATAAGAGTTAAATATATTTTTGATATTTAAATTTTGATATTTAAAAGAAAATGTATGATTGATGGAAAATATAGTAAAAGTCATAATTTGTGACAGGTAAAAATGGTAAGAAAATTTGGAAGATGATGGTTAGAAAGAAAAGAGAGTAGAAAGTTTGGAGAATGGCAATGCACAGAGAGCCACACAAAATATATTAGAATGATGGATGTGATGAGGAACACCACTTCTTCACATGGCTTCTTCTACTCTGGCACTCACTCTCACTGCCACCACAACCACCACCACCACCACCACCACCACCACCAACTCCTACTCCTTCTTCCCCAGAACCAAACACGCCTTTGCATATCCCAGAATCAACTTTTTCTCTTCCAAGAACCGCGCTTTATCCGTCTCTGCTTCCGCTTCCTCTTCTTCACGTTCGCTTCAGGCTCTCATCTTCGACTGCGACGGCGTCATCCTCGAGTCTGAGCACCTGCATCGCCAGGCCTACAACGATGCCTTTGTTCACTTCAACGTTCGGTGCCCCTCTTCTTCTTCTCCGGGCCCTCTCAACTGGGACGTCCAATTCTACGACGAACTCCAGAACCTCATTGGTGGAGGCAAACCCAAAATGCGATGGTTCTTTTTCTTTTCTTTTTTCTTCCTTATTCCTTTATCTTTTCAATGCTTCTTTACTGATTATACCGTTTCGGGGATTTTAAGGTACTTTAAGGAACACGGGTGGCCTTCGTCCACGTTGTTCGAGACGCCTCCGACCAGTGACGAGGATCGTGCCAAGTTGATTGACACTCTTCAGGTTTTTGTTTGTTTGTTTTCTTTCTTTTATTACTTGTCTGTCTTTGTGTCACATTGCTTCATGACATGGTTGTTATCGTTCCGATGAATTGAGTTGCCATGTTTCTCGTTCTCCGCGAGCTCAGACTCGGTCTACTGAACTTGGCAGCCTCCAAGATGGATATACTTAGAATTTACTTAGAATGCTTTTAAGGTGTAAAATTTAAACTGACATCTGACGGTAGATTACTTGTTATGGTAAGATTGTTAGATTTTGTGATACTTACTTTAAAACTCATGTTGAACATGTTTTCTAATTGGTTAATGGTGGAAATATCTTTACCTTACTCTTATGGGAACATTAAACTCTACTTATTTTGTGTGCCTGTGCTGCATTCATGGAATAACTGGTCAAGACCCTTTCAACTGTCATTTCCTTTTTTGTGGATCGACAAATATTAGCCCTTAACACGTTAGATTCATTAGTAACGACTCAAACCCTTTCAACTGTCATTCACTGCTGTTATGTAGGATTGGAAGACTGAGAGATACAAAGAAATAATCAAGTCTGGAAGTGTGAGTGGACTTCCGTTTATTTCTTGTCCTTGTGTTCCACTTTCCTGAACTGTGGAATTGGTGTTTGTGTTGTTGTTGCTAAATACTTGTACATTTTGACACAGGTAAAACCCAGACCTGGAGTTCTGAGATTGATGGATGAGGCCAAAGATGCAGTAAGATAAAGATAACGCTATATGTTTTCTAGCATTGTACTGATCTATTGTTTTTCATTACCTGAAGTATTACTTTATTTACTTATGATGGGATTTTTGTTCTATCTGATTGTTGTTCTAACTAATGTTATGTTGGTAAGAGAGATGTTAGCTTTCAAGTCTGTCATGTTTTGCCCAATTTCTGTTGCAGGGGAAAAAGCTAGCTGTTTGTTCTGCAGCAACTAAAAGTTCAGTTATTCTGTGTCTTGAAAACCTTATAGGACTTGTAAGCCCTTTTTCTTTATACTCTCACTATTGGTAGTAAAAATTTATTTATTAATTTGCATTCAACCAAGTTATTATCTCTGTTGTAGGAGCGCTTTCAAGGCCTTGATTGCTTCCTTGCTGGTATACTTTCTTTAATTGATCATATAAACATTTCTGACTATTATTTCCTGATCAAGAATAATGAAACAAAACTTATACCATGCTGCAGCGCCAGCTGAGGCTTCAAAACTCAATTAATTTGCATCTAAATTCATTTTTCATCCTATAAGAAAATTGGATAACCCTTTTTCTCATAAAGTTAGTCCTAATATGTATGTGCAGAAAAAGGTTTCCTAGTCGACAGCATCCACTTTGCTTATCATCTTTTTATCTGGCAATACTTTGCTACTCAAATTTAAATGCATCTGTTCTTTTATCTGATCTTTCAGGTGATGATGTGAAGGAAAAGAAACCTGACCCATCAATATACCTGACAGCTTCCAAGGTTTTAAATCTTTGAAACCTGAAACTCTAAAATTTCTTTTATACAATAACAGAGTGAGCATAATTTACATGAGCATTGCAGAAGCTAGGTATATCAGACAAAGATTGCTTGGTGGTAGAGGATAGTGTTATTGGATTACAGGTACATTTTCTTTTTAGTGTCAATTTTCTACTTCCTTTGAGATTTAACCAATCTCAAGAAAAGAAGATTAACTGAATGAGCTCAGAAATACCACTACACGAGCTTTTAGACATATGGAATTTCGTTTTGTTCCTTAATTTGCCAAATTACATTTAGACAAAATGCTCAAACTATCATCTGGTCTAAATTAACCTCTGCAGGCAGCAACACAAGCAGGGATGTCATGCGTGGTTACCTACACACCTTCCACAGCTGATCAGGTGAGGCAATTAAGTAAACGTTGAAATAAGTTTAACAGCAAAATGCCAATAACTATCCTATCGATTCAAACTAGCTGCATGATGATGTACCTGGATTTTATTTTGGATGTATTGTAGGATTTCAAGGAGGCCATAGCACTCTACCCTGACTTGAGTAACGTAAGGTATGATACGTTGCTGCTAACAACTTAAGATATTAGGTTTTGTTCATTTATGATCAGATACTAAAATTGTGTGAACCATCATGCAGATTGAAAGATTGGAATTAATGCTTCAAAATGCAGTACCTGCAAAATAAAAGATTTGCGTGTAAATGTTACCGTTTCTGCTGACCTGTAGAGGTTTCTATCAGGAAATTGGTATCTCTCTAAAAACAGACATTTTTCATATATTTCACAGCGGATGTATACATGTAAGTTAAAATATGACAACAATTCTTTGCAAAATGTGGTAAAGATCACAATGTATTGTTTATGTGTTGTTGTCGTTAAATTGGAATGGTTGCCATATATTTTTTTATCACGTCCAGTGCTACAAAATTGAGATATTTTGGTTAGGATCAGTTTTTTTTTCAACATAAAAACAAGCAAGGAAAAATAATAATTGGGGTGAGAGAGGCTCGAACTCTCGACCTCAGGATCACTCAGAAGCTATGAGACCTACGCGCTAGCCAACTGCGCCACCACCCCACGTTGTACAATCATTGTTTTTCATTATAAAGTTTGTAAAATATTGATTAATTTTGCATCAGACTTTCTTAAAAAGTTTACATATTTTAACATTATCTATATTTTCTCTTTCATAATCCTAAAATTTATTATTTTATTTTATATTTCGTTTGTGTTTTTTTATTAGTTGAATCTAATATGTTTATTGAAAAAAGGGTTGTAAGTGAAAATAATAAGTGTTAAAAATATAATTTTCCTTTTGTTCTTTTAGTTTATGTTTATTGTGGTGTCAACTCAATTATACATTACCATCTCAAACAAGTTTGATAGTTAATTTGTTAATTATCAGATGGAAAATGGAAGGACCAACTCAAATTAAAATCCTTCCAAGTATGATTACTGAATTTGTGCAATTAAAATTCGAAGCTAAATTCGCCACATCAAACAAAGTACAAGTTGCATGTTAATGACTCCTTTAAAAATCAATACTTCAGAAAAAAAAACTAAATAAATAAGGATATAGAAAATATTAACATGTTTTTAGCTGAATAGGTGCAAATGTGAAAGATAAAAAGGGAAAAAAGATACTGAAAAATTTTAATTGTTTTACGACAAAACATTAAAAAAGAAAGTAAAAATACTGAACAAAAATGGTGGTCCTAATTTAATTACCCGTTTATAAAATAATTGTCAATAATGTGATAAAGTTAGTATATGTAATTTTGTAAAATAAGGAAATGTATACAAAAAAAATAGTAAAACAAAACCATATCTGAAAAGAAAAAAGAAACATGTCGGTCCCATTTCAAATTTCAACCCAAAAAGAGAATAAATGCTCAAAAAAGAGAAGGAATGCACAACTAGGTAGAAATACATAGTGATTTGCACACATGTCAATTATGTTGCTAAAGTGAAAAAGAAATAAGTGTTTTTACGACTACAAGAGCACCATAATTAATGATTGTCTTTTCTTTATTTTTGTTTATAATTATAAAAAAATATTAAAAAAATTAGGATCCCGATATTTTGATAACTATATTTTAACAATTTTTTTACAAGGTCACGTGTCAGTGTCTCATTGATCAGTTTAGAATAAAATTAAAATATGAAAATGTGACGTGAAAAAGGTCACAGGGTTAAGAGATTGTTCATTCCAAATTATCCCTCACCGTATTTGATCTCTTCCTTCTCTCATATTCTCCAATTTATGTTCTCTCTCTTCATTCTGGTTCTCTCTCCTCATTTTCGTTCTCCCTCCATTTTTGTTATCTCTCGAACCTTTGGTGAGCTCGTGATTTGCGAGGTACGAACCCAAGCTTCAACCTTTGGTGAAGTCCTCATTTGCGTGGGACGAAACCCAAAGTCCGCTCTCCTCATTTTGTCTCCATTTCGTTCGCCTCTCATATCCTCATTGTGCACAATGGCATTCTCCAGTGACCATGGGTTCGAGCAAGGTAAAATGGGTTTATCCATTTTCTTCATTGTGTTTGGTTTGGCATTGGGTTTTCGCTGTTGTGTTTAATTTTTTTTTTCGTTTTTGGATTTCGCATTTTCTTATTTTGGTCTCTTTGATGCAATGTGTGGTTCATCATTCTTTTCAACAAGTATGTTTTTCTTTG